CGCCCTGATGATGGAGGCAGTATGACCTCTGAAACGTTGGTTAACATCGACCAGACTACACAGCGCAACAACCCAGAAGACAGGAATCTTCATACTCATCGCCCTGATGACGGAGGCAGTATGACCTCCGAAACGTCGGTAAACATCGACCAGACCCAGAAGACAGAAATCTTCAACATCTGGATTGTATGGCTAGTATTATGTTCGATTGCGTTTATGGGTAACTATGCAAAACAAAGTATTCGAGGAAAACAAACAGACAATAAAGCTTAGAGTGCAGCCTGTGTGTGCCGGGTTCAGACACGCGAAAATCGTATCACAAACACGCACTGCTCGTTTTCATGGGGGCTGTAACTGTCACTCGAAATATGTAGTTAGACTTCGTTACGGTCAGGCGGATGTGAAATACGCAGCAACGAATCGAGGCTTTCTCCTTACACACGACGTAGTAAACGCGAATATAACCAACTGGAAATACGTCGTTTGATCAGTATTATAATAAATGCGTGTGTGTGATGAACTTTCAACTCCTGGCGATGGCCACGTTAGTTTGAAACATGTTACGTTAACAGACAGCGAACAGTGTGCGTGAAACGTGTCTGGTAGGAAAATTAAAAATAAAATACCAAGAAATTTTAATTCTTTTCAGGATTTGATTACTTCTGAACTTCCTAGTGTTACTAGGTTTATTGAATGATTTGTAAAGTTTCTCTTTCTTGGAAAATAGCTGATTTGGATAAATCAGTAGACCTCCAGAGTGCTGAGGGTGATTGGGAGAGAGGAAAGGAAGATACGTTTCAGTCGGGTTCGAATCCAGAAGTCCTCAGGCGCACACAGCGTGAAACGTTATTTTGTTATTAGCTTCACGAGAATGTCGTTCTTCAAATAGATTGCAAGAGCGATCATGAAGTTGCTCTAACCTTGAAGTGTTTGTTTATCTAGTCTTTCAGGTTACAGAGCATGAAAGTCGTGGGATTAAACTCGAAGGAAAGCCAAAGAAATAAGAAAGCGAAACATCCCACAAAACGCTCGCCATGTCAGATGGTGAGATGCGGGTTCATATTACACTTCCTGCGAGATTACTTCATCAACTCTTCCCTGCATGGATTGCGTTATGTCGCAGAAGATGGACGACATTGGGCAGAAAGGTAATGAGATTTCGATATTTTTTTAGGTTAATTGATTTTTAGGTTAGCTGATATCGCTGAATAAGTTCACAAGCCTGTTTTCCGTACGATCACATCATGTATGCATGTACACGAGTCTATTTTCCTCTTTAAATCTGAACCAACTAGCGAATTTATATTACACGTGGTGTAAAAATCATATCAATAGAGGCCAATAAATTTTTATTCTTTTTTTAAAATTTTCTGTCATCTTACAAATTGTGTTTAATTAATATCCTTAGAGAATGTGAATCAACAATATGTCTGTGGTGTTAAATATACCCATAGTTTAGCTTTGAATTTTATGGTAATAACTGATGAACAATTAGAGAAGACACGTAAAATATGTCGTGAAGATAAATCGTGGATTAATCTGCGAATTTTTAATTAGATTTTTTAAAATAAATTCACAAGTACAGATATGGCGACGCCTGCGAAATACTGAGCTTATGTGGGAGTGTGTGTTAGTAGAAATTATAAAAAAGTATGAATCACTAAATTGTATCGTGATATTGATTTGTGGTTCCTTCTAACTTAACTTCATAAGCCTCTGTTGAATCATGTTAAGGAAAGTAGGCACCATTAGTTCTCCAAGAACTTCTATTATCTATTTTAACTGCATTTTGTTCTATTCAGATAACGTGTGTGCACCGAGTGAAACCATTTACAAGGTCAAACTGTTGATGGCAGAAGTTTAGATAACAAGTTGATTGGTCGGACCTTTCGCACACATCAACGGCGACAATTCCATAAGAATCATCGGTGAAATGTTGATTGGCAGGGGAGGGCTAGAGTACTCGGTTGAAAATTAAGTTTCAGTAAAACTTTGTTTGCCACAAATCCCACGTGGGCTGCCGTGAGATTTAATCCTCTGCAGGGAGAAGCTGTTACCTGTCACATCCCCTCCATTCTTCACAAAAACAGACAAGTTAAGAATGATGGTACTATTACACCCCGATTAAGAATTGTGTGGCCTAGGATATGGTATATTTGTCCAATAATATCAAGAATTTCGTTCTGCATTAAACTTCATGTCTCTGTCCACGTGAAAATTTCGTTTGAAAATTATTTTCTGTCACAGAAATACTTCAGAGGCTGGAGAGAATTAAGTCGAAGAAGATGGAGGATAAAATGTAAGTTAGAAATAAACTGGAACAAGAGAGCGAAGAGGTGGGAGAAAAGGAGAATGAGGTGAAGAAGACATCAATAGAATAAATAAGTTATTATTCTTTCATCCATAAAATATGACTCCCTAACCATCTGGCTGTTCCTGGCTGTTCCTGGCTGATTGGGCTTCACATCTTGAGTAACAATCCGTCAGTTTGTGTTCCTATAATTGTATACTTTGCAGATGCATCTGGATATTCTTGTGCACCATTGCCGTCGCCGGAGCGCTGTACACGTCTTCGAACATATGGACCCGATACCAGACGAGTCCTACCATGACTGTGCTGGAGAGCACAAATTACCAAATCGAGTATCTCCCTTTTCCTGCAGTCACCGTTTGTAACGTGTACCACGCGCGGTGGGATAAAGCAGTGCGCTTTCAAGAGACGTAAGTAACCCTAAGGATGTACTCATTGCCGTTGTATCATATACGAAATTAATGCCATCAGATGCTAGTATCTCTACTCTTAGTAACCACGAAGAAACCAAAAAGAAACACATATGACTCATCATTAGAAAATATTGCCAAAGAGACCCATTTGGGGGGTGGGACAACGAAGAACAAGGTATAAGGATAGAAAGAATATTTTTAAGATAGTGTAATTGCGTCATATTGTGAATATTATAACAATTATTTGTTTTAATCCGTCTGATCACAATATTTAAAATTTCTTATAATTAAGATAATAAAATATCATTCATGTTCCATATCGATTGATCGATTTACATTTCGGAACATTTACACAACATGTTTCGGTTTTTATAAAACCATCATCAGGTGTAAAATATATCTAAGAACTTAAAACTCAATTATGATTTCTGTAGTTTTTTGGTGATGTTTCATTACGTTTGTTTTTCCATTTTTGGGCGAAGGTTTTGGCCGATATGTACATCTAATAACATTTAAGAAAAACAACACCTTCGCCCAAAAATGGAAAAACAAACGTAATGAAACATCACCAAAATACTACAGAAATCATAATTGAGTTTTAAGTTCTTAGATATATTTTACACCTGATGATGGTTTTATAAAAACCGAAACATGTTGTGTAAATGTTACGAAATGTAAATCGATCAATCGATATGGAACATCGATGATATTTTATTATCTTAATTATAAGAAATTTTAAATATTGTGATCAGACGGATTAAAATAAATAATTGTTAAGAATATTTTATAAATGTTACATATAAGATTTTTAATTTCCACGGAAAATGACAACGTGAAAAGAAAGAAACGTAAGGAATAGCCATACAATAACACGAAAAATAATTTAGGGATATGCATTAATAAGTGGTTGTAAAACGTGTAACAATTTCAACATAGTTGCAGTGAAAATCAACTGAAGTCATCTGAGATCAGCCGAAACACGCACAGACGAAATAGATTGGCCCAGTAAGTAATTGTATTTGATGGCGTTAGTCTAGCCAAGTAAGCCTGCATACTAAAACTGTAAACCCTTCAAAGCTTCGTGACAAATATGCACTCCACCTGATTTATAAATCAATAACTCTCACAGTTTGTATGATTTTCACTCGCGTTGAGCGAAAAAGTAACTGGCTCACACTGAATGGCTAACGATGCATTTTATCTGATGGTTTCTGTTGTATTCCAGTGCATGGAGTACCACTGCACCACGAAAGTAGGACAAAATAATTTTTTGTTTTGTTTTTCACAGTGTTTCGCCCCTGGAAATAAAATTTACAGTAGCCTACATCTAAAATAACGAGGAGAAAAAACCTCAGAACCTACTAAAATAATGATGTTAATGATTTTATATGATGTAATGTACCGGTACCAGTTTTCTTTACAGAGGTCTCAAGTTGAGAAATAATGATATGTTAGGATCACACGTCACGTAAAGTCAGGTTTATATCATCCAATTTATAACGTAAAGTCAGGTTTATATCATCCAATATGGAAGAAAATGAAAATCTACAGACAGTATGTATTACAATCTCCTATCATCAAATTTAATAATATTTCATTGTGTGATTATTGAGATAAAATATTCGTTTGGGTTCTGAAGAAGGGTCTTCACACAGCGCGTCTCTTAATTCGTGCAGAGAACACGTAAACGGTGAAACGGGATCGATTAACAGAAGGGCTTGCAGATGTCAGAAGCCTCTTTTGCAATGATTCATATAAACAATTGTATGTTAAAGGTACCTACCAGATGCAGACAATATTACTATTAACGCCTTCTACCGGCTGGTTTTTGGGTTATCACTGGTGAATTTTGGAGATTTCGACATGATTACCAAATATTTTGGGAACAGCATAGAAGACGCGGAAAGACTGGCTGGTCTCAACGTGACATTCCTCATGATGGAGGTACGGTTATATTTTGTTAACCTTTGTGAAAATGAACTTAGAAATGTGGCTGTTAACACGCATCGTCTCCCAGAGGTGTTGGGTTCACATCCTGTTGTGGGTACCGTCCATGCTGCATGTTCGTGGTTTTTCTTGGTTGGAAGTGTACTGATTGCACTAAATAACGTTCCTTGCTCCTTAATTCCTAGTCACGGCGGTAAAAATATTAGCCATAGTGTGAAATCAGTTCCACTACATAATTCGTGGCGGAATCTCATCAATGGTCAGGGACTTTTAACCTTTCGGTCCGCCGATGTGTTTTTCGCGGTTCGTGTATATTATTTGTTCTTGCATTGAGTATGTAATACGAAAGATATAAGGAAGAAATATCCTTCAAGTCGAGTTATTAATTTCGTATCATGAAAATCGTTAAATACATCGTGACAATTCCTTCCACGTATCTCCCAGTTCGTCATTTATCGTATTATTTGAAGCTGTCTTATTCACGTAGTTGAGAAAGCGTCGTTAAATGAAGTAAGTAAAAATTTACGACGCCAAATCGAGCATGGGTTTATGTAGCAAATAATGGCGCGCAGTGACTGTGGCTTTATTTTCCTGGTTTTAACTTTATGGACGAAAGAAAACCGACAAATTAGTCCCCATCTGGGATTAAAACCGGATATTTACCGGAAGAGAGTCGCACTTCTCCTTTAAAACAAAAACGTCTTCATGGAGAAATGACATACACGGTGCAGGGAGATGTCTGATGTCTGATACGTGGCTTATAGATCTGCTATCAGCTTTCATCGACGATCCTGCGTTATGGAGTTAACGAGACTGGAGTAAGAAATAATTTATTGTGTTCGGTGCTGTGGCAGGTGATGAGTTCGTGTGAAGAACTGTTCGTCGAGAAATGCTGGTGGCGAAATATGTTTTATGACTGTTGTTCGCTCTTCGAGATGCAGAAAACGGAATACGGCTTCTGTTATTCCTTCAATTCAGAGACTTCACAATATCGACGATCGTAAGTACAGACAGCGCCTTCTTGTTATGCCACCATCTTCACGTCAGACAGTTGCGAATATTTTTATACGTGTAGATGTTTAGAGATATCAGATAACAAACATAACTGTAGTGAATAACTCGGAGTTACAGTATGGATTGAAACACGAACTGCCCGATATAATATTTATTATGAAACTTGGTCAAAGTCAGGGTAGTCCAACTTTTTATCCGCTCGGGCCAAGAATAGTTTTCTTGTTGGATCCAAGGGCCAAGAAACTTTTTCTAACACTCTTAATGGAAACTAATAACAAATATTAGTTATCTTTAACAAAACTAAATCAGAAATCAAACATTCTAGAAATATTTGCACAAATATCAATTTTATTGAAAGATACACAAATTTTTGTAGAGTTACATACCATTTTAAATGTTATCCTGCAACAACTTGAATCTGACACACGTTTAATTGAATAGAACGCTTACATTTTACGGTAGGGGTTTAAAGTCAATAGCATTTGTGGCTCTTGTACGTAAAGCAGCGGACGGGTTAATAATCACGAACGTTTTTTAAAATCCTCTGGAATAAACAAAATATATTAGTTTTGCAGTAATTAGTAATAAATTAACAAGTAATTTTGCGTGGTTACAAGTGGTTCCGGGCCAGATATGGCCTACCCGCCGCCAGTATGACCACGCAGCTGTAAGATAAAAACTGAGTGTGTTTGAGATTGAAGTGCTGAAGGTAATTTATCCGTATAAGTTAGCAGCAATAGTTGAAAAATTTAGATAATTATTAATGACGACCTTCGTTATTTGAAGGCCCGAGACTTTACCCAATATTAGAGTGACAAAATCAAGGTTGATGACAAGACGTGACATGTGGAACGAAAAGAGAGAAGGAGAATGAATACAACATTTTAAGGGAAGACAGCACTTGGTAGAACAAGGCGTAGATAGAATAATGCTATTAAAATGGATCTTAGTGAAATAGGTTGTGGGCTGATTCCGATTTAATCAGAATTGGGGACTAATGACGTACTTTTGAGAACATGATTATGAACTTCAACGGATTTAATG